TGACTCTGAACGAGTCTAACCCAAAGCACCAAAAGTCAGGCTAATTGAAGTGACTGCCTAAAATGCGCCCTAGCTGCATTAGTTTGGCCTTTTCCTACATTTGTGGGACTTTCTGCAGATTATCTCAATATCTTTACTGTAGCAGAGTGCGAGTTGTAGTATCCTGGTCACTGAGGTTGCTGCAGCACAGAGACGGCTGGAGGCTTAACTGGAATCAACCAACCTGTTACTGGAGGGGATTAGTAACATTTGGTAGCAACTGTTGGGCTAATGAGTTAATTGGCTTAGTAATGGGGGGCTATATAACTGTGAAGAGGGGGTGGAGGAAGAGAAAAGTTCTGTGAAAAGCCCCTCCTGCTGTACACCTGTGCTGTAATCCTGCCCCGGTTGGAAATCCAGGATTAAAGATGCACTTGATGAAAAAGAAACTGACTTAAAAATGGGTTAGACAGTGCTGCTCCCAGGGTAGCTTGAGAGGCGCCCTGTGACATGTACGATCAGTTAAATGAAATTTATTCAAGTGAATTTATGCCTGATGCGTATTTGCCAACATTTGACATCTATAAAAAGGGACATTTTGGGAGGAAAACAGGGATATCTTTGAACTCTATTTTAATACATTGGAATATGAAGTTGAGAAGTAAAATAAAATCATAAATATTCTCTCTTTTAAAAATAGGGATTTCCTCTTTAATGGCCCAATCTTGCATTCATTATACATCCAAAACTTCCACCAACTTCACATGGGAGTTAGGGTGCATGAACTATGCAAGGCCAAGCTCTTAATAGGGGCTTATTGTATGTAGGAGAAGTGAATTGAAAAAGAGAACTTACGTTGGGTTGCACAGTTTGACATTGTGGTGCACATGTTTCAAAGGAGTATCTATAGGAGATTGCTGTTCTTTACAAAGGTCACTGTAAAATACCTTTCTCTCTTAGTTCTTGCTTCAGAAACCCATTCCTGGCCTGTCTGCTGTCCTCCTGAACTTTGTTAATGAAGCAAAGTTCTGTCGGGTTATATCTCCGACCTTCAAACTTTATTATCTGGAAAACCATAAAACTTTATCCAAGGAAGATATAAAAAGGACAGTTTTAACACATTCTCTCTGCAGAACTTGCTTCCAGGCTCAGCATTTGATCTACCCTTGGGTTTGAGCTCTTAGCCAGCATGCCTGCCGATTACAATGGAACGTGGGAAATGGAATCCAATGAAAACTTCGACAGTTACATGGTTGCCTTAGGTAAATGAAAAAAATACAATATTGGGACAAGAGCTTTTATTTATCAATCATGCCTATTTAAAAAAAAACTAATAGTAGAGCAGTCTTACTCCTTTTATATGTTTTGGGGTTAAGAGTTTCTGGCAGTAATATTAAAATATCATACACTTGCTATAATATGTCTAGACAAACTTGAGTGACTTCTCGAGCAAGTAACAGGATACTCCATAGCAGTGGAGCAAAAACAGTTAGCCTTTAGCATTTAATAAAACTGTAACTGAACGAGCAGGTATAGTAAAAAGTTTACATAGTAATGAACGTTCTAACAATCTTTATGGAAGCATATTTCCACAGCAAGAAAATTAAAGGTATTAACAAATAGAATTCTTATTTAGATATTAAAAGAAATTGAAAGAGAGTTAATTTAGTACAATCAGCACATTAAGAGAGCTGGAAATGTGAATGGAGACCAAGCTCCTGGTAATGCCAATTTCACTCTATTTTCTCCACATTAGTGTCTTCAATGATTATAATGACAGTGTAAAAGTTTTACAAGGGATAATTGTCTTCTGTTGGTTTGAGGACCATTTTATATTTGACCTTTTCAATACAAATGTAATTTCAAATGTTTTAGTTTGCATGCAGATAAAACTATCTTAACCCTATAGGACACTATGGATACCTAAGGGGTCTGACTCATGCGAGTCTCATGATATTTAGTATTTTTCTTAAAGTCTCAGCTACTGGATCTGAGAATCTGAGCTTTCATTTTTTGGGGGGGGGGGGGGTAAAAAGTTATGTTCCTAGCCCTCATGGTTGCAGAGGGCAGCTTGAAAATGTGAAATGAGAGCACCCTAGAGGCTCAGAAACCAGGAGGCAGATAAAAAGAGCCCAACATTTATTATTATTTTAAAATCATGATTATAAGCCAATCTCATTATTTGGAGTGGGTAGACGCATTACTTTTGAGTGCTTGATACTGGCAAAACTACACGAGGGATGGAAAATCCTTTCCATTCAACTCAAAAGTGATCTCTGAACAAAATAAATGTACTGTCAGGAAAAGCAGTTAAGAGAACTCTAATATTGTTGTCATACTTGGTGACTGACAAATTCTCTTCATTGTTTAAGCATCCTTCTTCCTTATAGGCTAGTCTAGGCATGCACTTGAAGAGTGTGAGACTCTCTTCCAACAGGACTGAGAGTTTTACTAGATTTTTTAATCTGGTTGTAATGTCACTCAACACTCTATTCCCTTCTCTCCTAGACTTTCCCTTGGGTATCATCTGCTAATATTGTGGTATTGATTCTGTCAGTTGGGTCATAACTGCTCATATTTACTCTTCTTAAAAACTTTTACCAAGAAGACCTGCAATTGCTAGTAACATTATTAATATATCTCTTTAGATTGGTACTTCCCCTCTGAAATTTAGACTGAGATATTCATTGAAATTCAATAGGCGCTTGGTGCTTCACTCTCATAGGATGTGTATTATTTCATCTTTAAACATTCTAATCCCAATCCTGCTACAATAAGTAGTGGGCTTCCCAATTCTCTGCTTCCTTTTGTATCATAACTAATAGCATGCACTGCACTCGAGCAGTGCTTTTGTTACATCTCCGCTCCATCCTCAGGATTGTTTCAGTTAGCAATGAGAACAGGATACCTGACTGAAACCATCCTAAAATGATCTTACTGGATTTCTCCGGGGTGTTTGACACATTAGACTATAAAATAAAGGGCTTGATTCAGCCCCTGGGTCCCTCAGGTGGAAATAGGGCCACAGGAACCCAGCACTGAGAAGTCCGCTTGAAGAAGGATTGGCAGAAGGTTAAGCCACCCACAATTCCTGATATGCTGGGTGGCTCAGAAGTGATTGGTGCAGTACAGTGAGACAGGCGGGTTCATTGCATCTCCTGTACTGCCTCCACTGGAGATGTGCCTACTGAACCTCCTGACGGAGCTTAAAGCTAGCCTCCCCATAAGAAACTTGGTGTGAGATTGTGGAGTGAGAGCCATGTTTACACCAATTGGCTTTGGATCGGGCCCTTTGTTTTGTGGGGGGGTTTTGGACATGTTTTATGTACTGCACTTCAGTGCTAGTGAAAAATGCCTCACAGAATTTGCAACAAAGTAGTATCTAGATGCGTATTTCTATGTGTGGTACTGAGAATTTGTCCCTCACTGACTGTGTTATCAATGAAAAAGAAATGACATGGAAATGGTGAAAAGAGATTTTTCTGCTCTGTTTCTCCCGATTTTACATTTGGTTGATATTCTAAGAATTAAGGAGTTCAGATCCAAAGCACAATGAAGCTGAACTTTTTGAGGTTCATTCATCCTTATAATTGCTACATATGCATTCCTATACCTTAATTAACAAATCGTTTTGCCCTTTAAACCAGAAACTTTAACTTTTTCATAAGCACGTTAAAGTATTTCAATCTAATCTAATAGAACCATATTTCATCTTTATTGCTTGTATTGTTCAAAATGTGTTGTGTTCAAAATGTGTTTAATAAAACCTCCCCTGATTTTCTGCAGTAGTACAAGACTAATATATTAGTCAGAAATAGCATTCCTTTGGAAAATTAGACTTCTTTCCTCGGAGAGACCTAAATTTTGTTACCTGGCTATAAATCAGACCCAGAGATACCTTTAATCCACAGCAACAGATAAAATATACTTGAATATGAACATTATTTCCTATGTTAAAGTAACATTTTTTTGTTTTGTTTTCCAGCCAGTCCTTTCACGCAATTAGATTAGTGCCTTACCAGTAGCATAATGAATCCACCAAAAGAAAATGGGTTCCATTTGTACAAGGTTTTGCCGAGACGAAAATGATTAATTTGTATGTGAAAAAGCTCAAAGATGGTTAACAAGCCACACTATTTTTCAATCTCTGGGAGAAACATGTTAGATTATTTCATTTGCATATAGCACCATAACAAGATTCATTGCCAAATGTCAAATATTTATTGTATTTGGCAATGAAGCTGGCGTTAGGTGTATTGTCTAGGGTAGACTGTGTCATGATGGTAATATATTTGAAATATCTTTCAGGGCATTCAGTTGCAAGTAGTATATGTTAGTTTTCATCATGAACAGAGTACGGAATGGTAAAGAGAATCAGGCACAAAATGCTGACTGAATATTAAAGAGGGCATTGTCAAATGCAGTACTCTTTGGCTATTTGTCTTTTTGTTTTTTAACTTTCCATCTTTTACCCATATGGAAGCTGCAAAATAATCTTTTTCCATCCATTCTTTTCCTGTAAAGTCTGACCAACTTTGATTTTTGTTTCTAACATTCTTTCCTAGGGACAATCAGTGAATATAGCTCTTATTTGTTTACTTATTTATATACAAGCATCATTTCTGCAAAGGATTTGCTAATTAATATGATTCTGATTCAAACTACTTTACAAAAAGGGGTAAAATGGCTTTTACAGATGGCTGTTAAATCACACGCAGTATAGTCCCAGTGTCAATATAAATTCAATACAGTTCCACAGATTACACACAGTCCCAAACAATAATCTGTGATTATGGTGAAATAAAAGCTACATGCCAAAATTCACTGGATCAGACATGCACATCTATTGCACTCGTTCTGAGATCCTTCTATAGATATGAGTAGACCTGGTCAAAAGCAGTATTGGGGGAGAGGGCATATTGTTTTCTTGAAAATTTTCACCAAAAACAATGGAAATTTTATTTTTTCAAAAAACATGGATACTGAAAATCTTGGGGATTTTCAGCTTTTCTTCCACTTCACGCCTCCCCATCGCCCCTCATTTTGTCACTGAGAAAAGGAGAGGGGTATATGATGGTGGAAAAATACCCAAAACTGAAAAAAAAAAAAAGGGGGGGGGCTCATCAAAAAAATTAGAACACTTTTTGAAAAAACACAAACATTCCTCAATTTTTTTATTTAAAAAAAAAAGATCTTTTTTGTAATTTAAAAAAAAGTTTCAAATGAGAAATGTCAGCCAATTCTAGAAGAGAGCTACTCCACCTTGTTTTACCTGTAAGTGAGAGGATTAAATGTGCAAATGCTTTTCATAGTGTAGTTTTCATAGTTTTGGTGAATATATAAAACTATCTTTTGCATCTTTGTACCAGAAGTTGGAATTTGGCTAGGTATATCATACACTTATGTTTTGTTGTTTGTTAATAGGCATTGATTTTGCCACTCGTAAGATTGCAGGACACTTGAAACAAACGAAGAAAATTATTCAAGATGGAGACAATTTTAAGACAAAAACACTGAGCACTTTCAGAAACTATGAACTGAATTATACTGTGGGAGTGGAGTTTGAAGAACATACCAAGGGGCTTGACAACCGAGTTGTGCAGGTATACACTTAGTATTTGATTTCCATGTACACTGTGGTTAAAAACAGGGAAAGCAGTCTGTAAATTTCCTGACTTAAAAATAATGGAAAGCAATTTACAGATATTAGAGAATGTTTGTCTATAAAGTGCAGGTAATTTGCATTTCAAGACAGTTTTGTCTTTCACATTGCAAATATTTATTTTACAGGCAAACCAGGAAGGTTTCCCAGATTTGTAAGGGCAATAACGAATTACATTTTTTCTTGTAAGGAAGTTTTCCTGTCTTTCTATGATAAACCTCTTTGTAGTGTTCTATATTTAAAAGTAAAGAAAGGAAGTATATTTTGGCACATATAATTTAGCTGCTGCTGAAGTTTCACTTTAAAACTACTAAGGCTTTTTTCCCCTCCACATTATTTTAAAATTGCCAGTTCTATCTGAGTCTTTTCCTGTAAGCCTTCCACACGTGGAATTCCCATGGAAGTCAGTGGGAGTTCCACAAAAAGACCTCTTAAGGGATCAGGGCCTAAACCATTTGGTGTATTCATTTACTGCACACACCTTTGCTTTCCTTTTACGAATACCACCCTCAGTTTTATTCTCCTAACATCCCCTGAAAACATGTAATGGAGAATTTCAACAATGCAAAGGGCATCCAGGCATCCAACTCCCATTGAAACGCCTCTTTGAGCCTTTGAAAACCTGCCCGAAAGAGCCACTTGCCTTTCTTTCTGTTATCATTTGTTGATCCTATCCATGCCAACACTTCAGCTGGTAACCAGTTCTACCCTCTTTCTCAGCTCTTGGCTAGCTTGCTTGGCTCTGACCTTACACCCACTTCTGCATCATCAACTTATCCCAGTAAACAACTTTCATCTCTGAACTCAGATCCTGTTGTCAGCCTCTGGAGAGATGGTCGCACAGCTCAAAGCTCACTGACAGCAAGACCCATTTTGTCTCATTAGTCCTCACAAAGGAAGTAGGCAGCATATAGAGATGAATCCTGTCCTTATAGAGCATATAGAGATGAATCCTGGAATCCCCCAGTGGAGCTGCATGGGTTTAACTGAAGGCATTGTTTCACCCATAGGCCTGCTTTTGTTCTCACTTACCCCAGTTTCACGTGAGGTAGCTTTTCTGGAGTTACTTCTGATTCACAACAGTGTAAGGCTAGGTCTACACTACAGCGGGGGGTCAACCTAAGATACGCAACTTCAGCTACGTGAATAGCGTAGCTGAAGTGGCGTATTTTAGGTCGACTTATCTGGCTGTGAGGACGGCGGCAAGTCGACCGCTGCCGTGCCGCCGTCGACTCCGCTACCGCCTCTTGCCACGGTGGATTTAAAGCTCTTGGTTACAGTGCCTGAAGGATGCTATAAAATAAACTATAACTGTATTGTATCAAGTGTCATTTACATACTTTTTCTCTGTCTGTCTGTTTTATGTACAGACAGAGGCAGTGTTAATGCTGCACTAGTCACTATGATCCATAGCGCTTCAGTTATTGCACTTTATAATCTTTTTTTATTAATGCTTTCACATAGCAAGAAAAGAAAAATACAGTTTTCATATTCAGTGCTATTCTATAAACAGCATCAGAAATTCAATTAACTCATTGCCCTTCCTTTGCACACATACAGTCTGTATCACTGTATCAGAAGAAATAATTGCAAAGTGATAACGTAAAGCACTTTATACTAAGGGGCATTTGGGCCACTACTGTCTTCACACAAGCAGTTATGCTACTTCATTGTTAGTTCTGGTGTGTTTGGACATTTTCCAAAATCCCTAGTTAACTTATTGGATTTAATCCTTTGATCCCTGCAGACGCTAGTGAATTGGGATGGTGATAAATTAGTATGTGTCCAGAAGGGGGAGAAGAAAAACAGAGGCTGGACACACTGGATTGAAGGAGATAGACTGCATTTGGTAAGAGCTGACTTTCATGGTTATAGCATGTAACAGAGACTGTGGAATAGTATAGTTACTATAGTTCCAAGGATTTTTCTTATTCATTTTACTCACACGGCTCTGATACCTAAACTCTAAAACCCCCTCTCTACCAGAACCCCTGCTGTTTAATTTGTCTCCACCTGCTTCCCAATTAAGCCACAAACCTACAGTGACTTTTGGTCCAGCTCACTGCACTGCAGCCCTTAACCCTTCCAGTTACATAGCACATCAATTCCTTCTGCATTTTGAGTAAACACTAAAAATAAACCACAGTATTTACGTGCTGAATAAAACCTGTAAGAACAATGTTTTTGTCGTTCCAAAAAATGAGTTCTAGCAAGAACTGTGTAGTTATCCAGATCAGAAAAACACTCCCAGAATATACAGGGAAACCTAGCAAACATTCTATAGTGTGGTTATCTTGTTACCCCTCCCCTCCGCAAAAAAAAAATCAAACAGCTGAGTTAGTAAACTGGAATGCAAAAGAAATGCAGCAAGCCTGAGAGATGCCATATGGGCCTGTAAAGAAAATAAGCAGTCAATGAAGTCTGGAAAAATAAATTAGCATACAGAGGAACACTGGGGTCCCAGGAAGAACAATCAGTAAATTGTGCATGGTAATGCTGGATGGTAGGGGCTCAGAAAGAGACAGTAACAGGCAGAATCACACAGCTTTTAGTGAGTAGTTTAACACTAACTTCACCAGATTTGGATCTGTATAGATAGTTAGGAATTATTTTGCTTATCAGAATATGAATTTCTCCACCCTGGAACTGGACTATAATACAGAGCTCAAAGTTATCTATTTGTTGGACAGTACGCATTCATATTTTCTTTGTAGCATGTCTCCTCTATTTATCACATGAAGAGCCAGATCCTCAGCTGGTGGAAATTGGCATCGCTCCATTGACTGAAGTGAAACAATGAAAACTTGCACCAGTTGAGGATCTACCTTGAAGTCTTTTCTTGTTAGAATTAATTCTGTGCAGTTATATAAACCACATTTTACACTGTGGATGGCTGTGATGGCCATCTAACTACCATTGGAAGGTCAATCAGATGAATAAAAAAATCCTATTGTTTTCTTCCATCTAAGCAGAAACCAGTGTCACCCAACTGACAGACAGACTTTTATTACCCTATTACAATATAAATTCAAAATTTGCCAATAATTCCATTAATGAACATTCTAATTATTGGCACCAGGATTCAAACTGAGATCTCTGGAAACAGGAGGACCTAGTAGGCTGGTGCATGAGTCGATTGAAACACTATTGCCCTGGTACCCATCCTTTCTGAGACTTCCCTCCACCCTCTTTTTGTAATTCCCTTGTTGCTTCAGTGCTTCTAATAAATTATAGTATGTTGTTTTAATAATAGACTATGAAAAGCCACACCATTACAAAGCAATTTCAATGCATTTTTCATTTTTATACTTTTTTAAAACTCAATTCAAGTGTCAAAATCTAATTACCACAACCTGCAGTGCATGCCAGCTGATTAGGGCTCCATAAAACACACTGCTTTTTTTTAATAAGCAAAACTCTTCTTGATGTGGTGGTTCAGCTGGTCTTACAGTGATTTTTCAAGGGGAGGTGCTGTAGATGGGAAACATAACTCAGAATAATATATACTTACCAATTGTTTTAATGCTGTAGGAGCTGACGTGTGAAGACCAGATGTGCCATCAAGTATTTAAGAAGAAAAAGTAAGCTGACCAGAAAGTCCAACTGGTTTCACATGTGCTATTATGGTTTTTTAAAAGCTATGTAATGACTGCTTGACACTGCCATGTAAGTGCATTTCTGTGCACTGTTAACTAAGACAAACACATCCTTTAACACTAACATGGAAACACTTCTGTATGTTTTAAGGTCTTTTGCCTTTCAATCCAGAGTTAAATAAAAATAATTCTCATTCTTGTAATTATTTTTTTCATTTCTAAAATCCTTGTAATTTTTCCAGAAGCAGGACAATGAGTCCTCTAAGAACAATGCGGTAACTAAACAGTCACAGTTATCTCAACAACAGAACATGTCTCTGTGGTGTTGTAATATCATAATATGTTTGGATGAGTGAGTGCAAATCTGACATTCATTGTACTGCTTCTATTTAATTTAGTTCTGGGTGACTAAGTCTATAGTTTCAGGCAACAGGATGGCTCAACAGATTTGTAATAGGATACACAGCCTTTCACATCTAGGTCACTAATTTGAATTCGGCCCAGGTCCATAGCTACTGAAAATTCTTACCAGCTGACAACTGTTTGATGTGAAATGTGTTGGTGTTTTCTTAGTCCAATCCTAATAGACAGGTGCCCACAACCCCAAACCAGCCATCATAATTGACTATCTGTTTAGAAATCTCAGTGGAGAGAACAGAGACTGAACTAATCTCTCAGCTCAAGAGCTGGTCCCTATAGTTAAGCTTGAAGCACATTGACAGGGGCTGCATGTGGAAGCCTTGCACAACAATTATGTATGCTGCACCTATTCTGTGTGTAAACAGTCTCCTGTGCTTTCAGTCTTGTACCTTGTATCTTTTACAGGTTTGTTGTTAGTCTGTAGTTTCCAGCTCTTTCTTTGGGTAGCTACAGTTTAATTACCTGTCTGTTTAGGGTTTTCCAAAGGACTTTGTGCTGTTTGCGGGGGACAAGTTTAAATCAACCATGGATGATAAAGGACCGTGTTTTCAGTAGATGGAGCCTAAAATCATGGAGCCAAATGTACGCCCATCTATGTATCAGTATTAACATGTACAAATCTGATACATATGTATTCAAAGATATTTGGACACCCAGATACTTATAAGTGTCGGGCAAACATAGGTGCATGAATTTTTATTATTATTATTTATTATTAACTGATCTGAGCATCCACTGGTCTTTGGAATTGATGCTGTTATGGCATTCTGTGTGTGATTTCTGATTAAAGATTGATGATTTTCTATTTGTCAAGGTTTGTCCACAAAGATGAGTCAGTTCCTTACTACTTATTAAGCCCACCTCTGGAACTTCCACCAGAAACAGGTACTCACTTCCTCTTTCTGGACCCCTGCCAGCTCACTGTTCTTACAGGGGGCCACATGAAATAATTGTACACAACTCACTACACTTTCCAAGCACTATAGAAATGACACAATTGCATGAAGAATGCATGTTTTTAATTTTCTGAATAAAGAGTCTCAAATTTGGCACTTACCATGAGAAAAAATGTGCTTTGTACCACAACTTGACATTAGATCATAAAACATGGGGAAAGAAAAGTTTGCCTTTCTATTTGAAGTTGCCATTGCTTTACAAGTGATAAGCATTGAGTTTTGAGGATGGCTAGGGAACAGCATTGTTCAGCTGAATTCTTATTATGTTACATTCCAGAGTTCTCTTGGTACTAGGTGGGTTTATGGGATGGAAGTGAGTAGGGGAACTTTAAACTTTTGAGACAGGATAGATCAGAAAGAAAACTGGATCAGCTATTTGGGTAATATCACTTTCCTACACACATTCTGGAGTAAATAATTTCAGGCTTTCGCAAATGGGGAAGGAAGGTGTGCCTCAATGTGATCCATGTTGCAAAACCATCCCCTTCTTTCTGCTATTTCTGGGCCCACCATGTACTTTACAATATGCAAGAACTCTTAATGACCTTTAGAACTGTATGCTCTGCAGTGGAGATAGATGTGGGGTGATCTATTGTGTTGTCATATACTTATTTGAAAAAATACAGACTAATTTATACAATACACATTAGGGTAGGTTAGTCTTCAAGCTGCGTAAAACCCTCATTTCCCACTCAGCAGGTGAACTATTTGCATTAAAGGAAAGGGCCTCACATATAAATATAAAACTCATTCAGAATTTCTCAGCCACCTGGTAATGCAGTACTGTTTCAACTGTTTTGAAAAACTGTCCTTCTCACTTCATTCTTTCCACAGAATGAATATCATTTAAGTATAGTTCAGAAAGAGGACCAACTACAAGCAACCTCCTGGCCCAGGAAACCGACGAGATTGGCCACAAACACTGTAGTTAACTTATTGCCTAGGAGTTAAAGCACAGGTCTGCGCATCAGCAGCATTACCTGCCACTGGAAATAACACCAGTGTGTGAGGATAGTGTTTAGGGTAGGATTTTCAAAAGTGCTCAGCCTTTGCCTAACTTTGCACCTGTTAAAGTCAATGGGCATTTTACTATTAATTTTAATGAGAGCAGTGTTAGATAATGCTGAGGGCTGTAGAAAATCCCACCTTTAGGGTACATCTACACTCCCCCCCCCAAAAAAAATACTAATAATAATGGGGGCAGCAAGTCTCAAGTCCAGGTCAACTGACTCAGGCTCATGGTGCTATGGGGCTAAAAATAGCAGTGTAGCTGTTCCCACTCTGGCAGGAGCCTGGGCTCTGCCACCCTTCTCTCCTTTCCAGGTTTCAGACCCTGGGCACTAGCCCAAGCGGAAACATCTGTATTGCTATTTTTAGCCCCATAGCACAAGCCCTGTGAGCCCAATAAGTTGACCCAGGCTCTGAGACTTGCTGCGCGTTTTGGGTTGGTTGGTTTGTTGGTTTGTTTTTTTGCAGTGTAGACATACCCTTAATGCACAATGGCTGCTTCCCAGGTTTCCTCCCCCAGATCCATGGTGATCCAGCCATGTGGTATTTGCAGTGTGGCTTCCATGATCATACTGCAGAGCAACCACTATCTCTGACTTTCCTGCTTGTGGAGTGTTTCTGCCCCACTGTAATTTCATAAACCCCTCTTCACCACACAGGAAAAGGGCCCTAGGACTGTTAAACAAGCATTTACTTGATGAAGGCTTGATGAAGACAAATAAAGTGGCACTGACAAAGTCATTTAATTACAACATTTGTCTGTGCTCTTTCTAACTGGTGAGTGTATAGTTAGCCTTGGTGGAAGGAGATTAATAGAAGCAACAGATGCCTTCAGATTTTTAATGCAGATTTTTTCCCCCACTAGAACAGGCTTTTTTCAGTTTTAATTTGTGATTGATTCCAAGGGCAGGGGTTGCAGATGTTTTAATTTTGGCTTGCTGATTACACTTGTTATGCAGATGGTGAAGATTAGCTGGAATCGCTTTGTGAAAATGAGATTTAAAAATAATAACAACGAGCCAAGCTTTTTGAGAGCTGCAAAGATTGTCAATTATTCTCTGAGTTTCACACTTTCATTAATTATAACGTGTGCTGCAGTGATTCAGTCATCACTAAGTAAGGGAAAGAGGGCAACAAATGAGAGTGTATGTTGCAGAGCTAGCAGGCCATGAACCTATGGCCTCATTAGCAAGAAAGCCCTCTGACAGGATCAGGGCCGGCTCTGGCTTTTTTGCCGCCCCAGGCAAAAAAGCCTTGGGCCACCCCCCCACCCCCAGCGGGGGGAGGGCGGCGAGCCCCGGCGGGGGCTCCGCTCTCCCCCCGGCGGCCGGAGCCCTGGGAGGAGGGTGGCGAGCTCCGCTCTCCCCCCGGCGGCCGGGGGGAGGGCGCCAGGGGGGAGGGCGGCTGGAGCCCTGGGAGGAGGGCGGCAAGCCCCAGCCGGGCCTCCGCTCTTCCCCCCGGCGGCCAGAGCGCAGGGGGCAGGGCGGCGAGAGGGCGGCGAGCCCGGCTGGGGGGAGGGCGCCGGGGGGGAGGGCGGCCAGAGCGCCGGGGGGAGGGCGGCGAGCCCGGCCGTGGCCCGCTCTGCCCGGCGGCCGGAGCGCCGCGCCGCCCCCTCCAGGTGCCGCCCCAAGCACAAGCTTGGTGGGCTGGTGCCTGGAGCCTGCCCTGGACAGGATGTAGGGCCCTGCCTCCGCATATGGACACCAAGAGGTAACACTTACAGCTGCTTACACCCAAACAGCAGAACAAGTTGGAGAAAAAGAGCTGGGCTTTGAGCCAGGGCCTGAGTCTCCTCTGCCTTGAATGCTTGTGCCATTCACATCTCTGCAAAGTAAGTGTGTCAATCTCTACCAGATCAGACTGGCAGGGCTTGATACTCCTCTCATTTACGCTGTCAGGAATAACTGTACTGAAATGTCATGGGTGTAAAACTTGTGTGAGAGGAGGATCAGGCCTATGCTTAATTATCACTCACTGCACAGGGGTACGTGTTTACACAAGGTGCAAGTCAGAGGTGAATCAGATCCTGAGGCCTGAGTCAGGAGCTAAGGCCTTGTCTACACTATAAAGATGTACCATTTAACAATATTGTACAAATACCCTAGTGTGGATACAGTTATACTGGAATAATGGTACTTTCTACCAAGATAGCTACAGGCAAGAGAATATGTTACCATAAGGCCCCTTCATACCAGTAAAACTGCATCCATACTAGGGATGTACCAATATAAGAATATTGGTTTAAAAAATATCATACCCTTAACAGATCAACTGCTAACAAGCAAGTGTAGACCTAAAGCCTGTGTGGCTACAAATAGCCCCTCAGGCTGCCCTCTTGTGACTCAGGTGGGACCTATCAAAGCTAGTGGTTGGCCACATCCATGTTTTCAGTCTACCCCAGACTGTTACATAGCACTCATGTACCTTGACAGGATTTAAACCAGTGAGTACAACAGGTACATGCAGTGATATGCAGGAGGGAGCTCTGGAATGCTACTTATGGAAATTCTGCCACCTAATGGAAGGGGGAGTTGGGTTGTTTGTATCTAGCTGGATGCTGCTAAATCACCTTTGCCAGGGATTACTTCAGTGGGGCTCCTGAGGACAATGTAAAGCTTTTAAAGCCTTTCCTCAAGCACAGGCACTGCTGAGAGACCCACCCTTCCTTAAAAAGCAGTACTTCCAATAAGTCATCTCCTGGACTCAAGCCACCTGAGAACACAATGACCTAAAAGCCTTTACTGTCATTTAACTATGTAATAATCATGCTTATGAATTG